GGACAAGTCAAGAGAAGTCAGATTCTGGCATCCTCGTCTTAAAATGGACCACAGAACTTCATCAGTAAGGCCTGAAAAGCAGAGCACAGCAGTAATCAATAAGCAAAGGACTGAAGAGTTGGAAGCTTTAAAATTATAAAAAGTACACCAAAAACAACAAGGAAATGAGAGACAGAGCTTAATAGTTGTACCTCCCATGCCTTTAAATGATGTGAACACTCCTTGGAAGTCAAGATGGGTTATGCGATGCCATGACTTAATGGCCAGTAGTCTCCATCTTCTGCATACTGAAATAAGACAATATTAATGAATATAGAAACTACCTCAGAATCAATTAGCAATCTTGATCATAGCCTAAAGAGTTTCATTTTATTGCATGGCAACTTTTTTTGGTCCACCAAGTCCACTAGGTCTTAGACATTTCCAATCCAATTCCCCATGGCTATCCTTTTCCTTGTAACATCATAGCATTCTCAGGAATACTGACATATTTAGCTAATGACAGGGTGTCCTATGTTATTTCAGCACATTAAAAATGAGACTGAGTCAGAGAGTGATTTAGACTGGATCTTTGTGTGATTTGGGACCATGAGTAGGGCTAGACCACCCCTCACAGATACAACATTCTATACCCTTCTACAAAACCTACAAGGCATGACCAGAGAGAAATAAAGAATTCAATGATAACATGTCATGAGAAGAGGGAAGAAGCCCATGGCCATGATCAAGAGAACAACCTTTGTTCCTACTGGCTGAGTGAAGAGCTATGAAAAATTCAACTGCTACAAGTACTATGAATCTCACGTTATTTGGATTGGAAAGCAAAACTGAACATATATATGTCGTCCAGCCTGATTATTGGCAAGGAAATAATTTGATGTACTGAAGGTACCTCTTTCAATCCTGATCCTATCCTTAGGACTTAAATACAAGAAGATGTGGAGCATGGTGTACTCATTCAGTTTAAAAATTTCTGGCCTGTGGATGAAAAAAATTATTTCTTTAAACTGATGTAGTTAACCATGTAAACCTCATTGCAGTTCAATGTTAACTGTATTTCGTATCATTCTGTTATTTCCATTTTTTAAATATTTATTTAGAGAATTTTCAATTGAGGATGCTGGTTTTGGAGGATTCATTTAACTTTTATTTTACAGATTCTTTAATCATATCATACAATATTACTGCTATTATTCAAGAACTGATTCTATACTGAACAGGAGTTGTTACCTGAAAATCATAAACCTTTAACTCCCAAGAGTGACCAAGACAGAATTTTTTGTTACAACATCAATACAAAATCAAGGAGACAAGTGATGAGAATGAGGAAAAATACCACTAAGAGGATTATAAGTTGATCTAATACCAAATTCTCCAAACTTGCATTATGAAAGTAATAAACCAGTCAGTAAGGAGAGTGACTAAACTAATGAGATCTTGGGAGTGAAAACTTAATAGTTATTATCAAAAGTTAGGCCACGATTTGTTACATACAAAGACCTGAGTTCATTGGATCCACTGATAGTGCAATCACAAGATTCCATTGCCTCATCACCAGCTTCCTTCTTGTCATTTCCATTCTCACGATAAGATTCAAGTGCCTCCTGGCAACACAATCACAAATCAAGTGTCAATTACTACTTATGCATAGAACCTGATCTGTCAATGGTTTAAAACCACAATACACAAAAAGAGAGAAATCCAAATGGAAAATTAAATCCAGAATTGGTGCACATTCTCCTCAAGACAACCTTTAATTTCGTATCATCATTGAACGTGAAGCTAACATTTATTGAAAATAACATTTTTTTTGCCTTTGAGTTTCCCTTCTTCTCCAAAAATAAGCATTCCAAATGTAAAATCCTAGGATCAATAGTTATTATTATATTCCAAATGCCATATTTAAATATAGGACTGTTATGTTTCGACAAATGTAATTAATCAGCCTGTTGCTGGTACCTCATGCAGCAGAAACCAAGGTAAGCAACAACTGCAGTTTTTGTGCATCAATCTCACATGAAGAATTTATCTCTTATTGAAGATGCTAACTGGCCATTAAAATGAATATACATCCTCACCTCAATAGTGCTTTCCTGAATGAAATTTTTAGAGCCTGTCATGAGAAAATGGAAAAGAAAAATTAAAAAAAACATAAGATTCTTATTGTGAGGCATTTCAGCATAATCCATTTCACATTCTCAACTAGATTATATATACATTATTTTCTTACAACTATAGTAAGTAAAGAAGTATAGTTATAACTTCTTTCTAGAAAGGATCAGTCTAGTCTATTAACCCTATCCCTCCCATGATCTCATTACAAATTCTCCTAACTGTCTGTTATATAATATTTGTAATGTTAATTTGAAGAATTTTGTATTAAATCAACACATAGTCCCTTAATTTATATTTTTTCTCTTTTTTTAATTCTCATCACTTACCTGACTGATATTGTGTTGATATTGTAAGGAGAAATTATGTCTTGGTCACTTTTGGGAGTTAAAGGGTAAATTAAAAGCCCTATACTTTGAACAAATGCAACCACTGAATACTTTTATAGGCACTTTCTATTAAAATAATTCAAGTGTGACCTTAAGTACCATATTTATTTCATAACACACCCATAATTGTTGAATTTGAGGGTGACTGCTTGCTGAATTTTCCCCACTTTCAAGGGAGTAACTCTATTTTGCAACAAAGCAATAACAAAATAATAAAATATAAAGATGTAACATAGACAGGGAACTTAGAGATTGTTGCCAGTAAAGAAATACTAATCAATACTTCTTTTGTCCATTTCAGTTTTATTGTTTTTTTTTTGGGAGGGGGAGAGGGGAGAGGGGAAGAAGTGGGGAGGGTGGGTACTTACTTAAGATGGGTGCTTATCAAATGAATATGATTTATTATATTCAATAATACACAACATCATCCATTAATAATATTAATTATATTATTACTATATTATTATTAAACCTATCAGCACAAAACAGTCCCTAAAACAAATAATTGTACACCTACCTTTCTTCCTTCTTTCTGGAGTGCAAACTTTCATGACTCTGAAGCCATACAAAAAAAAAACAAAAAAAACATGCAGACCATCATTCAAAAAGATAGGAGACAGAATGATTTCTGATTTATGACTATATACACTGTGAAGACTTTTCAATCGGAGCATTTGAGCAAATTGTTTACCTATACAACTAAAATAAATTCACAAGCACTCTTCTGGTCATAATAACCCCTTAATCAGCCAATTTTGATTGTACTAATTGCTTTGAAATGAGCTTCATTCTTTTATCTGTGTTATTGATAGATGTTGACTTTTTCTTGGTCCATAAAACTGAGAAAAAAAGAGCTCATCCTTAAGCCAGATCTCATGTTACATCCAAATCATAATCATAATACCTTCCTTCTAAAGTTCTCTCATCATCTGAAGAATCTTTGGCTTTCTGTGCTTCCCATTCATTACTAAAGGTCACAAATCCAAACCTAAACAAACAAACAAACAAATAAACAATAAGAAAATACACGCGTAAACCAATTAACATCAAAAAGAAAAAACCCTTAGGAAATATTTATTTACAGTTTAAAATTTAGTCCTTGAAATAATAGTTCTTCCATTTTAAACCTAAATTACTCATGACATGTAAAGCAATGATCCTTCCAGAAATAGTTACAATTTTAGCAATTGCAGAAGAGAAGCTTTATTAGGGGCAAGGCAAATTTTAGAGGGTTCTTCTCACTGGTTGAGGAATCTGATCACAACTGTTACTAAATAACTAAATTTCATTCAACCTGCAGATGAAAATGAAGTAAAGCAATGATTCTTGGTGGTGAGCAGCAATTTTCGCAATGATAAAAAGAAGCATTTTTTTATTGGCTGATCATAAGAATTTTATGTTGGTCCACATATATCCAGACTATGATGCCCCAACAATTTGTACATGTCAGAACATCATTATAAAAATTGTAACAAATACATACTGCATACTTTAGTCACTCTTGTAATTTGAAGGGTTAACAAGATTAATCAAACACAGAATTACATTTTAATGAACATCAAATTGTCTTATCAGCCAACAAATCAATGTATGATAATAAAATAATAGTAAAACAAACAAATAAAAAACAAACAAATCCATTCTTCTGTGCAAATCCTCAGAGGTCAGAAGGGTAAATAGGAAATTTGAAGGACACCTACACATCAACATTTGTTGGGATGAAATTACTCACCCCCGAGAACGTTTTTTCATACGATCCGTGATGATTTGGGCATATATAACTTTTCCAAAAGAGGTGAAAAATTCCTTCAGTTCTCTGGACTTCACTCTGTAGCTAACGTTACCAACAAAAACCTTGCACTTGTTGGCAACTACACGGGTTTTTCGGCAAAATTCTTCGGCTTTTTGTATCAGTGTTGCAGAGCTTGTAGGTTTTGTGTCTTTTTTAGGTATCTCTTCGTCTGGACTATCTGTTACAACGGACCCATTTGCTACAAGAGCTATTTCCGATAAACCACAATTAAGTTTCTGGTGATGAAGAATTTTGAGTTTTTGTAAGTTTGGAGACTGTTTGCTCATCTGCGTATTTATCAAATTTCATCGAGAAGAACCGCCTTTCAGTGAAATTGGAGCGTATGACCTCGAGATTACACATAAGGTTTGGTATTAAAGCATTAAACTGGCAGAAAATCTCTCCCTTTACGTGCCCTTGGGGTTTCTGGCAAGCAGTGCAAAGGTGAGCGTGTGAGTACGTCATATATGATTAACACACAAAGTTGCCTGAGGTTGCTTATTTCCAGCTTTTAAAAGTTTTTGTTTCTTAGTAAAAATCTCTTATTCTCTTAGTTTCTAAAATTGTTTCATTCTTTTTTTTTGTCTGTTTGCTGGACCCTTTTTGATCAATTCGCTGACTGCATGGAAATATTTATCATTTTTCAGGAGCACAGGAAAAGCGAGCTACTTCCGGTTGCGAAAAGCGTGAAAACGAGGTAAAATGAGCGAAAATTTTCACCGAGTGTGCGTGAGAAGTTCGAAAAATTTTGAGAGATCCAATTGCCCTACCGTTTAATTCTCGTTGTGGCCATCTAGATGAACTCAGTTGAACAAGGTGCCCTTCTCCTCAAAAAACAGCTTTCAGGTATACGATCTATTTTAGTCCTTGCTCCCAAAACCCCGGCATTTCAGTTCGATGTTTCTACCAATCCAATGCATACTCATGGCGTCGTTTTCTTTCTGAAGAGCTCGACAAGAACCCTCCGGAGGGCTTTTCTGCTGGCCTTATAGATGATGATAATTTGTTCAAATGGGAAATAATGGTGGTAGGACCCCCTGATACTTTCTAGTAAGTCTTATTTTTATAATTTTGCACTCGTGATTTGCGATACATACACTTTGTTAGCCAACACGCACTTATACGTATTCATCATCCCCCTAATATGATGCGTAACACTAAAATTTGTCGTTTTGTTTACTATTTGTTATAGTGAGGGAGGTCTGTTCAAGGCACACTTGTATTTTCCTAGGGAATATCCGCAAAAACCACCAAAAATGAGATTTATATCAGAATTCTGGCACCCAAATGGTAGGTACTTATGTAGGTACGAATTGAAGAACATGTATGACTTCCCAGGACACGTTGTTTTGCTCTTTGTTTTGTGTCGTAATAGTGTTTGTTAAAGCCATTCTTGTCATCGTCATATTGAAAATAATTTTTAAAATGTAAGTAAGTGACAGATGAAGCGTTTTGATGTAAATTCTATCAACGGAGTGCCTCACCTTTGGAAGAATTAACTCAGTTGATTAAGCAATGAAACAATGTTTTTCACCTTGTAAGTTTTCCCTTTGATGTAGTATTTTTTAATGTCATGATAATTCAAGAACATCAGGAGATAGATTCCTACGTTGATCACAAGTTTTCTTACATTATTTCTCCTTAACTTTAAGTTTTATACTTCCTAATAATTCCCTATGTTTAATCAGTAGAGAGTAGCTAACAAAATTAGTTACTAACTTCAATAAGGAACAATCTTATTGGTTAGCTATGAGTGAATAATAGAATGCGAATTGAAACGCAATGACTTGTAGTTTTTGTCTCTTTGTAGTTCACAAAGATGGCGAAGTTTGCATTTCTATTCTTCATGAACCTGGTGAAGACAAATATGGCTATGAGAAGGCATCAGAGCGCTGGCTTCCAATCCATACTGTTGAAACAATCTTGATAAGTGTTATCTCCATGATATCAGAACCCAATGATGAATCCCCAGCTAATGTGGATGCTGCAGTAAGTATAACTCCTTCATCTGTTCAATGAATTGCAGTTTTTCTGCAACTTTTGTTTAGATATATGTTTTTTTGTGAAACAGGATAATTAATAGGCAATTATAGTTATCAGAGTTGCTAGCCTGTAGAGCAGGCGTAATTTTGGCCAGCAAGTGCAAAATTATGGTTCCCATCTTTGATTTTAATGGCAGCAGAAGGCAGGGTAGGGAAAGAAATTTGTACTAAAGAGGCAGTTGATGGTCAAAAATAAGGAGAGTGGTGGGGTTGGGGGAGTGAAGATTACACCTTCCTGAGGTTATTGTTATTTTGCAAAACTCTGTTGGCCCACGACCAGAGTTCCTGATTGGTGCTTTAAGCTCCAGCTGTCAATCACAAGCCAAATGTGTCATTTGGACATTGTGCTCCTACAGGAAAATGTGAAAGATGGCAAACTCTGTAAATGGTGAATTTGTTATTTTCAATTAATTGCACTCTTGAGGAAGCTCTAAAGTGTCTTTTGGAATATTAAAATATATCTCCTGCATTAAAATCGGAACAAAAAGAAGCAATTTCTACACTGGCTTTGGGACAAGCCTGATACTTCACATGTTGGTTTTGTATGAAAGAAATTATGACAGGGAAACCTTCAATTGTAGTTGTCCTAGTTTGCCTCAGCCACAGGCTGCCTAAGCTCTAGCTGTGAGATGATCATGTTGCAAAATAATGGTCATGGTGAAATTATAAGAGTTTGTATGGGAATATTTACGACCGCTCTTAAGAATGAAAACATAGACAAATTCTCAATAAAATGCCTCATCTTACTTCCACAGTGCATCGCTAGTCATCTGACTGCTTACTACATTGAAGGGAACCCATTTTAGCGAGTTATCCATTGTTAGGTTTTCTATGTACATAAGAAATGCCGTGATGCACAACTAATCAGGGGGAGTTTTGGTTTTTAAAAGCATCTTTGGGCAGGTGTCTTTTCACCCGTCCCCTGCCCCCTACCCCTACTGTCCACTCTCACTCCAAATCAAACATGGCTGGTTGGATAAATGATTGCCAGCTTATAACGTTAGCTTGGCTACAGAGTTGCAAAGTAACATAACCATCTTGATACTAGTAAAATTGTGGTTAAATCCATCAACAATACTATGAGATAAACTAATTATAATAATTTAATTTTATTGATTTATGTGAGTAAGACTGTGTCTTGTTTTGTCTTGTTTGTATTCATCCTTCTCATACCTTCTTTAAGATCGTGTTAGACCATTAAACCTTTAACTCCCATGAGTGACCAAGAGAGAATTTCTCCCTATGATATTATTACAATATCAACTAGAGAAGTGATGAGAATAAAGAAAAATATCAATTTGGGGATAATTCGTTGATCCAATATTATAAGAATTGTATTGTTGACAGTTAGGAGGATTACAAATTTGATCTGGGAGTTAAAGGTTAACAGCTTTTGGCCAGTACCATACACTCAGACTGTATGAAGTAAGATGGTGACTGTAGTGTATTGTTGAGGACATGCTAGGCCCCTGATTTCATATATAAGGCAGCAAACCTTGAAGTTTTCCATAATAAGCAAGCAAAGCTAGGTTTGAAACTTTTAGAAGGATACAGTGTAGTTATTTTTTTTGCAGATATCCACTTGGAAGTTTTAACTCTGTTCCTGTTTTATTTTGCAGAAAGATTGGAGGGAAGATTACAATGGAGTTTTTAAGAAAAAAGTAAAACAGTGTGTACGGAAAAGTCAAGAATTTTGACTTTTGAAGAGTTTGTAGTATGTTATTGCTTCTGGAGTCGACTCTAAAATTTGATATTAGTTATTTCAATATTTTCTGTTACAAGTTCTTTATCATTAGCAGGGTTTTAAAGGGTTATGTATCTACTAGCACTCCTGTGAGCTGATTACTGCTGTTTAACAAATTGAAAAATATCTCAGATTTGATAAGAAATTGATAATAAGGCATTAAGTGTGTAACTCTCTTGTAAAATTATTCATTTGGAAGTGTAGGATAGAGGTTATGAAATATTAATGTTTGCATGTACATTGTATCTGTTCATGGTGGTATACATTTTTTCACTGCTTATTGTATATTCATTGTTATGAAGCAGTATGTAGCTCACCTGCTTGGGGCTTGCTTACAGCACATCATTTTGATGCCAACAAGTAATCTAGATTCACACCTTGTAGTAACAAGATGGTGAAGCCACATGAATAATAACCCTTAATTTTTTTATTGACCTAAATTTGAGCAACGTAATGACAGATATAGAATATAATGACATGAGAAGGCTTTACTCCATTCTTTGTCATCATAGTTACTGTGTTACATATGAAATTTGTTTTCACAAGATCAATCTGGCTTTATAAAAATTGTGGGTACACGTTGGAATAAGATTGTAGCCAAAAAAATCAACAAAAAAATTCTGCCATTTGCAAAATCTCTCAAAAGTTCTCTGCTGAACAAAAGAACCTTGACACTAAGTGACACCTACCACTTAGTGCCCTTTTTTTTTTACATTCTGTGAAAGAACACTTTCCAATTTTCAAGATAATGGTCTACAACACACACATTGCAATAAAGAAAGAATCTTAAGGCAACTTTACATATACTAATAATTAAATATAATATTGATTTGTTTGCCACTTGTAACAAAAAATTATGAACTGTTGATTTCTTTAATTACTAATAGGAAGATATTATAATATTACAATATTTGATTAACTTGAATCCAGTTTCAGAATAATGCTACATTGTAATTAAAAATAAGTGTTTTTTTTTTTTTAATTTTTTTTTTAAGGTTATGTACATTTTAACAGAAGCATGATTGCTGTCATACAAATCCAACTACTTAGTGGTAAACAAGTTTAGTTAAAGCTGTTGTAATTATTGTATTTTTGCATTTGTGGCCGGTGCTCCATAGTGATAACTCAGCTCATATTTCATAGTGATTTTTTAAATTTTGTTTTTGCTATATGTAAAGGATAGCTTTTTTCTGTAAGTTTGAGGTATTACTCAAACTTTCTATTAAGTTTTCAAAACCCTTCTGGTTGCAGTATGAACCAGCTTCACCTTCTATCTAAGGAAACAGGTCTTTGAACACAAGTTTGTAAAATCTGTGTAAAGTTCTCCAAGGTGGACATTATCTGGAAGTCCAAATTAGTTAGAGGGGGTGGGTATTCACTGGGCTGCTCCCCCAGATTATCAAAACCACCACACTTCTATATACCAATACCACTCATGACTATATCTCTCTCATACTCTTTGATGGAAAATGGTATTCCTAAACATGCCTACTTTGAAACACCACTGACATCTCTTTAACATCTTGTAACAAGACAAAAGAAATGTTGCTTTTAAGGTAAGCAGCAGATATACACCTTTCTCTTTACTTCTGTAACTACCAAGAGACCCTCTTAGGTGTCAATTTTCCTTTTCACTTCCTTTTTTTATGTCAACTCATGAAATTTAAGTCTCTTCCTTTTTGTAAACCTATGGTCTGAAAGTGATACTTACCTCAACTTGCATCCTTATACTTTGTTTCTTTGCTCTAAAAATTGTCATTATCAGAGCTATACTTGCAGCTATTTCATTCATAGCAAAACTAACCATAGATAATTTCATGATAAATATTACTGTAAATGAGTTATTACAATACTTCTCAGTGGTAGAAAACTTACAGTTCATTTACTGATTCCAGGACTAGTCAGACGGTGAAATCTAATCAGTGGGTAGAACTGAAATAAAAGTGTTCCAAAATTTTAAAGCTAGTGAATATGATGTACATAATATCCACGTCTGGTTTCAGTAAAGAGCTGTAATGATAGTGTTCAAGTTGGTCTGCACTAAAAAATTTGCATAAGCTAAATGACTGTATATTTGATATTCTTATGCTTAAATGCAGAGTATGTTTGCTGCACAAATAAAGAAATTTATAGGGAAAGACTGGTCAATGTTTGCTTATTAAAAAAATTCTTTGGTTTTGTCTGAAATAACAAACCAATTGCAATCACTGACAGTACCTTAAAAATTGTCTTTTTCTTTGTCCCGGCAATGGAGTTTTGTTTCCTTAATAAGGTTCAGGTTTGTTCATAGGCACAGTATGTTTTTTTTTTCCTCAGTTAACCCCCTAAATTGATACGTATTATTCTCCAAACTGTCCTCTACACATTTCCTGTGGTGCTTACGAAGAGAATTTGTCAACAGTCCAGAGCTTCTTGACTTAGTATTCATTTCCTTTATTCTCATGACCTTAATGTTTGATTCAGGGGTAATATTGTGAGAAATTAGATGCTAGTCACTTAGGATTCAAAATATCCTTTACTGTAACACTACCTCTCCCTATGAAGGAGTACAACTGAGTGCTGGCCAATCTCAGTTAACTTCATGAGAGGGTAACCTGTAATGGACTACTGCAGCATTCTCTCTTCCTTCCCCCCCTCCCCACCTTGCACAAAAACCTTAAAATAAAAACACTGGTTTCAGTAATACTGCTTTTGGAAGATGGTTATACTGTAATATTGTAATACATTTGGGTAGCATTTCATTTCAAAACATCCTTGTATCTGAAACTCTACGTTGGTTTCCTCCCTAATTACGGTAGCTGCTTTTTTAACCAAGGAAATGCAGCACATGTTCAAATATCATTGATCCTAAGCAATAATTCAAAGGAAGAACAATAATACACAGATTTGTTCAAGTTCAAAGCCTTGATGCATTACTGTGTTGTGATCTTGTTACATATCTTACATATTATCAAAATAGAAGAATTTTTGATAATAACCTTTGAGCCTAAAGTCTTTAATTTAGTTTACTTACTTATCTCTTCCAGAGAGAAACATCAAATTGGCAGAAGTAGCTTTTAATTAGCAAATCGTTAACATAAAGGAAAGAAGTACTTCAAAATATGAGTTTTGGAAAATGTATTGTATGATCAATGATTTTCATTAGTAATTTTTTTTATTGCTTTAATAATAGGACACCCATAATGAGAGCTGTTAACTTGAAGATTTTTTCTGTATAAACAAAACTTGCATTCAATCAATCACTGTCACTGCTGAGCAATAGCACCCTCCTTGGTTTTTTCCTCTTCTTAATAGCAGGAGAGATAGTAGCCTTGATAGGACTCTTCTGTCGTGATTTAGCCTCTGTTCTTCCACGAGTACGACATGTATCACTCTGAGAGTCAGTAATTTTATGTCCATATTGTGTCTGAATTTGTGAATGTGGAGGATTATTAGTAATAACATCCATGTTATCAAATGATGTACCAGGAGACCTGTGTTTCCTTCTGGTGAATATTGATCGTTTTTCATTTGGTTGAGGAGTGGGGTGTACAAATATAACATCTGAATAATCTTCTTCATCGACAGAGTTGATTTTGCCTCTATCATCATGTGTCACACTGGATGATGGCATTAAAGCAGAAGGGATAGATTCCTGTTGTTGTGCCCATCTGGAGTATAACTTGTTGATCTTAGGTTTGATCTTAGGTTTCCTTTCCTGCCAGTTATGCACAGAAGTCTTTATTTTTTTTCCTTTGTTGATTCGATCAATCAAAACTTCATCCTCAGAAGCACTGCTTCTGTCATACACCTCACCATAATTTGAGTTATCTTCATTTTTGGTGGCTTTCTTTCCTTTGTAAGTCCTTTTCCTGCATGATTAAAATTCAAATGAATTTCAGAATATGCAAATAGTTATTACTAGTTAATAATAAATATCTCATGACTTTTCATGTACAAGAAAGTTATGTTTATATATCAGCTCAACAAAACGTGTTTGAAATTGCCCTTTTCTTGAGAATTTATCCTTCAGAATAGTTATCACAGAGCCATTTTTTACAGATTTTGAGTGAGGATATATTGTAATCAATCTTTGCCTTACTTAGGAGTCCTTAGATTAGTTGACAATGAAGACAAAGGAAGCCGTTCTCCATTTTTCGAAGCCATGCTGATCCAGCCATCCATAGAACACTGGCCGGGTTCTCCATGACTTAAAGATGTCCTTTCATTCCTAGTTGTAGACTGCTGTTGAACAAAATAAAATGGAATTAAAGTTATTGGCACATTTTCAAATCATGGTTACACCACCTGTTAGCACCCAACAAAATGTATCAAATTCAACATTTGGGTTAGTACTTTTGTGAAAAAAAGGACAATTGAAAGAAAAAATACAACGATAAATCCTCCTCATCCACCTGTATTGCATATTATTAAGTCAGTTCATGTAAGATAATGTTACTGAGAACAAAACTAGCCACTAAAGATATTACATGCAAAGGTGTCTATTTAGTCTAACTACCCGAGGTAAGATTATGAGAAGTCAGTCAATTGATAATTACAGCAGAGTCACACTTTAGGTAGTACTATTTCAAGTAGATAGATGCTTATGACTGACTATCAAGATCACTGGCCTGTATGTCTATTCTCGTTACCTGTGTTTGTTTGAAGAGAAGTTGTGCTAATTTGGTTATATAGCTTCTGGGATTTAAAGACTTAAGTTTGCCTTTGGACGTTCTCTATTTTGAGAAAACAAACATTGCAACAGTACTGTCCTAACCTGTCTTTTCCTTTTACCATTGCTACTTTTCTGCTTGCAGCCTTTGTGTTTCTTAGGGGTTTTTGCTCTGGACTTCCTTAAGGCTCTTGTTCTCTTGGAACAGCATTCCTTTGCTTTCACCTTGTCTGACTTGCCTTTAGTCCTTGAATTGTTTCCAATATTGCCAAACGGTACCCAGTCACTGTTCAGCTCATCTAACCAAAGAGTAAAATTTTTATAGTACCAACAAATCACTAAATAAAACATGATAGGAAATGCTTTAAGATAATGGTTGTAATCGATGGCTAGAAACAAATGTAGTTGCAGTAAAGAAACCCTTATAAACACGAAGAAGTGACATGAAAAAAGGATCCTAGCAAAACTTCTGAGACTGACATCTTAAAGTCTGAAAATATTTTTTTACAAACATGAAAATGTGATGATTCTAATGTATTTAAACTTAGCAATCATTGTTTGTGACATGTAATGGATCAAAAATGAAAAACTCCCCCTCTTCTAGTGAGGGTGAGGAGCTCATCAAGAATGAGACCATCTTCCTCTCTCTATCTCCAGACAGGACTCAATTTAGATATTGTTGACCCTGGTGGCAGGCAGGATTATTTCTACGTATGAACCCTATATGGCCTAACTAGCCCATTTTTTGCTGAAGCTTGGTTAGGAGACCGCCTGATGATGGGTAGGGTTCTAAACCTCAGGGGAATATAGTTTTTTTTTATCTGTCATATCCTAAAGACAACTTTGATATCACAAAAGGGAAGCCCTAATAGAGTTGAAGAATCTTTAGAGGAGACCATATTTCATACTACTTACTTTGGCTGTGCACTTACCTGGTGAATCATCACTGCTAACTATAAAACTTCCAAGACTTGCTTGGGATGAGCATGCATCTTCAATTTTGGGAAAACTTAAGATTTAAGAATTATTTTGAACAATTAGGTATACTATGACACTAGTTCTGATAAAATAACAAAATTACATTAAAAAAATAAATTTCTAACAGTATGGATGGTTAGGTGGAGAACAGTGTTCTCCCTTATTTTAAGCATGACAAGTAAAATAAATTTTCAAACTGGTAAAGCAATCCTTTTACAAGTCGAATTTTCAAGAATTCCAAGCAATTTTAAATGGTAATAAGAGGTACTAAAGGTGGTAAATGTTACCGGTTACTGCTTGAAAAGGAGAACACTGGAAAATCATACCAGCTTCTTGTCATGGAACTATAAAATACCTTATCTATTTTTTTATTCATTAAAAAAACGCATTTTGAATAAAAAAAAGTGTAAAAAGGAACCCCTTCATAAATTTCAAAACAATCTTACAGGTAATTTCAAAAGTATAACAATAATTATCAAGGTCTAACAAAGTTAAATGCTGTCAACTCTTTACCTAAAGAGTAGCAGCTTTTTTGTAAGTCTCAAACAAATATACTATAATTTAATACCTGTTATTAATGTTACTTGTATTTCTTGAAGATCTTGTTCTTGGATCATGCCTGTTTCGGAACTGATATGGGCTGGTTCTTTCTATAAATGGACTTATGCTATTGCTTTCTTCAGAATCAGTACTGTGATATGCTGTAAACAGGGGCTCATCATCATCGTTGTCATCATTTATAAAGGAATCTTCAAGGTCATACTCATTAAGATGCAGCTGGCTTGAAGCACATATGTGACTTCCTCCTGAACTCTCTAGATTGGTATTCATCTTAGAGTCACAAATGAAGAGTTATTTAATTAATCTATTCAAATGTTTCATAAATAGAAAGTCTACTTTGTTACCTTAATTTCACATTGGAACTCTAAAAAAGTTGAAGTTTAAAATTTGAAATCCAAATTTCACAGTAATCACTGTTTCAAAATAAATTTGTTTAATTTTGTGGCATAACAGATATTGTGAGATAAAGAAAACTAAATCAATTCCATCACTTAAAATTTAAAATGTCATCTACAGGCAATTAGGAGAAAACATCTGTCAAATCAAGCAAATGACAGAGTGAAGTGTCAGTTTCTCTTCAAGGTATCAAGTTTTCAAACCTGTTGCCTGGATTGTCTTGTCCAAGGGTTACTGTAGTGAGAAGAAGGCTCATAATCATCATCAAAATCATCCAAATCAAATGCGCCAAATATATCTTCCTCTACTAACTCATCATCATCATTCCAAACTCTCTGATCCTTGTCTCCTACACGGACCTTTGTTGGTGGGGATCTGAAAGGGCTCAGATGAACCTGAAATGCATAATGAAACACTTTGGTGTGAGGCAATTTCTAGTAGATCTTATTTTTAACAGTTAACTACAAACACACTTGAGGAATTATGTCTAACTATAGCTGTGGTAACAAAAAGGAGGTTAGCTTAAACCTCAAAAAAAACCTTGCACTTGAAAAATCCAGTAATTTTTTTTCATTATGAATACATTCAGAAGCAAGAGGACACTTCTAGCATCTGCTTGCTTTAAAACTCATTTAATATACATAAGCTTTTTGGCTTGGGATTAATTTTCCATCCCATTTTAATTGGCAACAAAAAGGAAAGTGTTTAAAAGCATGCACTTACAACAGGCAACGGCTTTGACCACTAATAATCACGGCAATCTTAATTCCACGTCAAAGTAAAATACTAAAGTCGAGATGTTAATGGCTTTTGAAGTAAAACTGACTTAAAGGTATTCCCACTAATTAACTATATGCTTTCATTTCAATCATTCCCTGTGGGTAACACCTGCATCGGCCCACATCTGTTACATATCTTAAATCGCTTCTTCGACACGTTCGTCACCAGTGTTAACTCATCAATAACTACCTCGTAAGCACAAGAAACAAAATTCTTTAGCAAATTTACATGCCGCGAGCTTAAAACGATCTAGAAGATCCGATACAATTTAAGTTGTTTGCTCCTGAATCAGAATAACTTCACCACTGTGTACGATCTTGATAGAACAAACATTTATTTTTAATCGAATCATGATTTTTGCATGTTTGGTGGTATTACCTTTGTTATGCATCGAAATCGGGCCTTGCATATCGGACAGGTATTTGTGTTCTAGAAATAAAAACATGCTCGGCGTTAGCGAAAGCTTAAATAATTGATTTGCATTTATCCATGAATCCAATAAGTCAGATATCATTCTCCTGACATTTCAGAGCATCACGATGAATAAATTTCACAAAATGTCTAGACCTCTGACCACTCCAATATGCATGGGAAACAGAACCAGTGATTACAAACGCTTAATTTTCCGCGACAGATAACTTTTTCCAAACAAATTATACAGTTAGACGGCTCATCAGTGTGTTTGGAATCTCCATTTGTAGTTTCCGCGTTTTTCCGGGCCTTTGAAGGACGAGACATTTCCTTTATGATTGTTTATGAATCAGCCTGATGAATCTGTCTTTTCAAAATGGCGCGTTTTTTATCCGAGCAAAATGTCTGGCTACTGCCTCCATTAATTAGTACCTCTCATTGGTTAATATTCTCGCGCAATTTTAAGCCAATCACAATTGTTGTAACACACAGATGTGCGGGCCTGGAACGAGACATTTTTGTTGTTATTATCCGCTGACTCGAGTAATCGTAGTTATTAGAAGGAAACTTTTCAGTGAAAACATGGCTGACATTGGAGCTATGATAGCGACTCCAGGAATCGAAAGCCCGAACAAGCGGGCGAAAATGGATAGTGGACTAACAGCAACTAACTTCGATGAATCTAAATTCGCTAGATATTACAGAACGGACACAGTGAGCTCTCCCGTAAGCTCACATTCCGGACCAGTTGTCAGTGATACATCAGCATATTATTCATACCCCTACACGTACTCGAATTCTTTCTCATCATACACGTATCCTTGTGGACAAACAGACGCAGCAGCTTTGTACACATATCCCGCATCTTATGGCATTCCTTACACCGCACTGAATGGCTTCAGCACAGAATATTCCTCGACGTCAGGTAGCGGTATGCGACTTTCCTTTTAGCTTTTGCGCTTCTGATATCGCTTAATGCGTTACTCGAGAAGTCATAAATATTTCAGATGGCGTACTCAGTTTCATCGTAAAAGGAGGGTAATCTGTTTTGTAGCGTCATTTTGGCGGCCGAACATATAGGCTTTTAGGCACAAGAATGAATTCGTGAGAGGAAATTAGCTCTGTAATGTGTTCTTGAGTAAGGGCGTGCACGAGAAGAGTTTAATGTTCTTAGGACACTATTACCTTTGAGCGCGTCTGCTTCTCCTAGTCTGTTGTCTTAATATTGTTGTTAAACTTTGAAATTCATCTATTTTTAAATGAATGTCACGTTTAGTCAATAAACTATGAATGCTGTACTGCTTGGGCTAAAAAACAGGTAAAAGCTTGCTCTGGGACCCGGCGCATTCGAACCTTTAGCGGTGCGTGTTTCATTCGTGAGGAAATGTCACTATTGAAGGCTGTTACTGTGCCTTGTCATTTATTACGGACTCAATGACCACGCTATGTCTGGCACGGCTTTTCCTGAAAGGTTGTAAGAAGGATATATTTCACTGATACGTGGATTGAAAACCAGCTGTACAACGAATCGTGGAATGCGTCTGTTTATTTTCTGATAATCTGCTTTAGTCAAAAGAAATCGCAGATCGCCTGATGTGTGAATTGTACATGGTACACTTCTTTAGCCTTGCTGATATGAATGGAAATGTTAATGAGCGAGCTTTAAAGCAATATCGTGTTTACTTTCATGCAGAAGTCGTGGAGGCTTTTCTCGCTGAGTAATCGGGGTTTTTAATCTACTAGTATAAATTTACGGGCCGCTGTTCTGGCTCGTAAGCTCTGCAACTCTACCTTTTTCCACGGCGTCCTGATAACCGTTATTTTTCTCTGTTGACAATGCTGTTTCTTTTCTTGTTACTTTGATTAAAATATAAAGGAAATCCACTTCTATAGCCATTGAACACAATTGTTGCTCGAGCAGATAATTGTTAGCACTTGTGTTTTCGTTTCTAAGTCCGTAGAAGACAACAGCTAAAGCGTGAAATTATTGGTTAACTATGTCCGGCTAGGAATAATAAAACTCTTCGATCCACATCGACGAGTGTATATTTGGAATATAGGCCTGGAATGTGCATGTACTTGAATTCATGAATATGGAAATTATTTAAATCGTGAATGGAAAGAGATTTACTACAATGTCATTTATCTTCACTTCTGTTATGGCTCCGAAATACCACATCAATATGAATTGACTTTGATTAGAGACTTTAAAAAAAATCTATCCTGCTTGTGTGTTAAATGGTTGATTCTGCCTCCCTTTTTTTCTTTTTTTTTTTTTTTTAATAATCCTACTGAAAAATCAAAATTCAGCGGTTAAAGGGTGTTTCAATTTTTTCTCTAGAAGAGAATTATCAGAATTATTTTGTTTTTTACCTTGAATGACTTCTGGTAATCAAAACACATGCATAAGTATTCTTGAAATGGTTTTGTTAATTAAGGACTCTGCGATGAGATAAAGGGAAATATTGGGCACTTCCCCAGAGAACCTAGATGTTGTGTCTTGTTCCTCTCTAAGAATGTCTTTGAACACTTGCTTTTGGCCTTTCAATTAGACCTTTCCTAAACCTAATTTCTTTTTTTGTTTTGTTTTCCTTCCTTTTTTTTTTTTGGTGAACCAGTAAGCACCATTGCTTGTTATCGGTCTTTTGCAAAGAGGTACATTTTTTTTTAGTCAGGTAATATTTCCTTATATTTAATCCACAATATAGTTTTGACCACAAGGAATGCATTCTGAAAACAATGTTGTATTGAAATAAGAAGGGAAGATTTCCTTTAAGATGATACATAATTAAACTTGGTGCTAACACTACTGCAGTCATTCAGTCTAAAGAAAAGCTTGCTGTGTATAGGATGCTGGGACAAATGGCATTACTTAATCATCAGAATCCTTCAACCAATAGAAAGTCTGTTTATTTCAGACTGTTCTAAATTTGCATTTGTCTCAGACTTTCATTTGTTCAGAAATGTTATTTGCTTATGCTTCTACCATAGAAAATCAATATTCTGTCATTTAGAAGGATCTATTAGGTAAACTTAAAAATGCAGTTGTACTCTCAGTAATTATGGCCCCCTGGTTAGAAATAGTGAACAAGAGAAAGTGAAATTATTCACATTTGTCATGGTCCACGGTTAAATGGCCTTTAATTCTTCCAACTTATCTAGAACCAACGTTTTTGTCAAGACCATCAATAAAATTTGTGACAGCCCATTATATAGCATTTGACTCGGGAAGTTGGCTCCTTTAGTGAATAGTGCAGGTGTTACCAATTTTGTTCAATTATTTTTATCACAATTTTTTTTGTATACTATTTGGCCATTACTTTGAATTTCTTTTAGTCTTTTACGTAATGAAGAACATGTTTAAGGGGAATATACATTCTATACTTGCTGCAAATCTGCTAGAATTATATATCCAGTGTATAATTTTATTATTATTATTATTTTCATCTCTCATACCCAGTACATAATTTTTTATGTAAGACCTCATAAAAAATTATTTCTAATATCCAGTCTTCTGACATGTATCTGAATTCTAAATTAAAAGGAAGCTGTATGTGACTGGTGTCTGCTCTAGACACTTTGCAAATGTGCCAGTTAAAAAAAAAAGAAGTGCAAGTTATGTCTTAATTTTGCTTTCAAGACATATCATTATTCAGACAAAACTTTGGCTGTAAAAATTGATTGCTTTTTGAGCAGATGTTTCTAAAGCACTGGTTTGATTTGTAGCTCTGTGATTGTTCATGTGCCCATTCAACTTCCATTTATTGGATAGAAATGAATACTTAGTGATTTTATATTTAAGTGCCAAATGCTTGCCTCAGGCAGAAAAATGTTTTTTAGGTAAAAGTGGATTTTTTCTTTAGTGTGTACAGTGCTTAAATTTTAATGTTCTCGAGTAGCCTGCAGAGAATCTAGATGCTTTATACAGCTGTATGCTTGTTGTGGTGGTTTCTGCCAAAATTACAATGCAAGTCATCAGATCTATAGAATATTATGAAAACCAGAAATACACTTGATTACAAAATCCTGTTATTCAGAAATATTGTTGACTCTTTCTCAGAAAAAAAAAGCTTACTGCTTAGTCTTCTTTTCAGAAATAACAAGTTGTCAACAGATATGTCTTGTTCTTGATCAATGTGAAGACTTTTGCATCTCACTGTACTGCTTACTTAGTAATTACAGATTTGTGGGGATTCATCCACACAGAAGATTTGAGTGTGGCAAGCAAGATCTGTATGTATTTAGTTTTCATTATTTGAGCTCTTGGGTTCATAAATAATTATTGCACCTATTTCTTTTCAGACTATTCATTATCTCCAAGCTCATCTGTTTCTGCGCTGACATCAACTTCAAGTCTCAATATTCCACAATCATTGACATTAAATTCTACGGCACATCACAATACACCTCCTTCGCGTGTTATTCACTGTAGAGCAGTTGCAGACGGTTGTAAAGAAACAGACTTGATAAACGTTCTTCAGCCATTTGGGAAAATTACGTAAGTATACAAAGAGAATATTTTATCCAGTAGATGTTCTTTTTGTAGGAAGTTACTGACATGGAATGTTTTCATGGTATAAAAGTGTTTCAAACTGATTATGATGCGGTGAAAATTACTTTTTGGCATTTTTCTATGAGTTTGTTTTAATCATTGTTCATTACAATTGTTTAATCAAAGTTTGGGTTGTAATCCACTGAATATTTCTGCTTTTACTCCTGCTTATAGAAGGTAGACTTTTTCAATGAAAAAGAAGTCATTGAATATGTCTTTAATTTATTGTGTTACTAATAATTCTTGAATTTCTTGCCAAGTAAAACATGTGTCTCCTCCTTTTGATTGCACAATACTTTCTTGATGTTACATTAAATGTCACCTTTTCATTTTCGTTCTAAATTTAGCATTCAATAAGGGTTGCATGTTTTTTTCAAGTGAGGCGTCATATTAAAGTATATTTTGGCAAAATTGTGAAAGGTTTTGCTGATATATGGCATCAGGAATGGGAAATATTGTGCTATATAGCCATTTATGATGGGGAGGTGGGAGGGGGGGTAAGGCGTTGTTATATTTCCAATCCCAAATAATGCTGCATGTTGGGTAAAGCTGGAAAAATGAACTGATCAAAAACATAAGTTGTAGGTTACATTTGAAACCATGTTTGATATTACTTCAGTTTAGCACTTTTACTGCTGGAAAGCATTTCTTCAGCATTGAAATCATTCTCTTTGCCCTATTCATTACCAGTGGAAAGAAAATTGAGAGTTTGATATCCTTTTAAGGCTGAAAGCTGACAGAGGTCTGAATTTCATGGAAAAAAAGGGTCAAAGATCAGACATTTTACACTTTTCTGAAAAAAAAAA